TGAGCACTTTACACAGACATTTCTAAATTATCTGGAAGGATTTCTACTTGAGAGAAGAATTTAAAGATGGAAATGAAGTTTAAAGGGAGTAAAAGATGGTAGGTGAGGGGAAGTGTTCACCAGAACCGACACTCTCCATCAGAACCCAGCTTTCCTCGGTACGCTTTGGTAAGAAACTTGACTCATTACCTTTCTGAAGATTAATCAGCAGATATGGAGGTCCAGTTAACGCTACTTGTCCAGCGTCTCCATAGGATGGCTGTGACTCGTCCGAAGTAGTGACGAGATTCCGTCCGACACCAGCTCACATCAGCAATAGACTTCACATGAGTGGGGTCCTTCAGAAGTTCCACTCAGAGGTGGAGGATATTATAATCCAACTCGGAGGAGCCTTATCATGCTGGACTTCTGTTCTCCCAAACGACTTCTCAGCGCCTCACCGAACTCCTCAGAAGCTTCACCGAACTGCTCAGACTCCGAGAGAACTAGGAAGTACCGGCATTTTAAAGAGCTCTATTCCCGGTTCATTTGGGCGTCCCTGATTGGTCCATATCAACCAGACAGGGGTGTGTTTTGTGATGTAAGAGGTTACTAGAAGTCAGAAAACAGCAAGAATTGTTATGGAACAGATTAAACTGTTCTCAGAGACAGAGAGAGTTTTGTTTTGGCGAGTTTTAGAAACAGGTGCCAACTCCTCCGTTGACGTCTGAGAGGATGTAAACAAGACAGTTGTTCCAACACATGTCTGCTTCGACTCCTGACCTTGGAAAACGCACACTTGCTCATTCAAAGACAGAAATCAGAAAATGCATAAAAATCTGTAACAGACCTTAACATGAATTCTAACTCTGCATAAGCATTAAAAAATCATTACACTGTTTCACAGTTAATAAAATTGATTAGTTCACTGCAACATCTAAAATGGTTTGAACTAAGACACTTTGATTATCAACATTTGTAAAATAGTAATGATAATAAAAAGAGAGTGTTCTTCCACTTGATTTTCAAGAAGGAAAGTCTCAGGATGGGTGAACCTGTATCTCTGGATTCAAATCAATGAAACGACAGATTCTGTCCCACAAGGTTCTTAAGGTCAAGGGTTTTGACCTTAGGCTTAGTTTTGACATCAGGTTAAGTTCGCTACATTGGCTATTGCCGATAACCGATATATTGGCTGAATTTATTTTTAGCTTTATCCTCCTTCAACTTTTAAACCTGTTTTAACACTTGAAGTCTTGAAACAGTCGTCCTAACATGCGTTCACGTTTTCTGTCCTCCACTGTTCACCATAAAGTTATCAAGTGTGACAAAAATATAAATTAATCAAAGAAACACTTTCCCTGTTCAGGGTTCAAACAGTCCCGTACGGTGAAGGTCTAATTAGTGTTGACTGTAGCAGAGTTTATTTTTCTTTGCAGAGAAGATTTCAGACAAACAATTCATTTAATGGAGGACGACAAAGATAACGTTACTAACACTGATATATATTTACCGCTACATTAGATTTATTGTTCTGGATAAAGTTTCACAAAACAACAGCTTATGCTAGGTTAACTAAATGTTAGCTTGCTAGCATGAGAGGCGCAAAGCAGGTTGGAAGATTGAAGATAATTTATTATTGATTTATTTTACAGATCAGTTGAAATAAACTTGCCATGCTCTGTTCAGTAAAATACACTTCACAGTATTTAGTTGCTCGCTGCTTCGGCTGTGCTGAAAGTGAAAGTTAAAGTGAACGGCCACCACATGCGCCCTCTGCTGGATACATTGTACAATTACATCATTTGCAAGTAAGGGCACGGCTGGTCACAGCATTTTAGGGTTGAAAATTAAAAGGGTTTATATCGGCACATAATGGGCCAATTGTCACCGATATCGATCCCCCCCCCCCGCACCTAAAATATCGACCCTGCCGATTATATCATTTGGGCTCAAGTTAAAACGTGTGTTTTCATTACTTCACTGAATCCAAAACATTTCTGTAGACAACAGCTGAAGTTCCCAGAGCGAAACTGTTGTCAGTGCTGACTTTGAAATGTTTGATTTGTGGATGAATTCCCCGTGATAACCACAAGGCTAATCGTGTTAGCTTCTCTGTGGGGTTTTCAATGTTAAGTTAGCATCTTTGCTAATTGTTGTTCAGCAGCCTGTGAATAATAAAGTTTTGGACGTGCCGTGCACTCCTAATCAGGCTTGGTAATATACCTTCACAGATATACCCCACAAGAACCAGGTTGGACCTCAGTTTGTTTCTTTATTTGTAAAGTACTTTAAAACAGCCACAGCTGCAACAAAGTGCTTTACATGTAAAATCATTTAAACACATAACAGAAGGAATAAAAACAAGAAGAACAATAAAAACCGTAGTAGAAATGAACCAGAACAAGTCTCAGGCTGTGCCAAAAGTCAAGGACTAGAGACGAGTTTTTAATTTTTAAAGGCAGTGCCCGGTTCGTCTGACAGGAAGTGGGCGATCGATCCCTAATCTTGAGCTGCAGCAGAAAACATTGTGTCTTCAGAACTGCCCAAGTCTTTGGTGGCAAAGGTTGATCAGAGATTCTGGTCCATACTGACACGACGGCATCGCCCAGTTACTGCGTCCATAATGATGGCCTCCTAATCCACCACACCCCAAAGGTGCTGGTCTGAGATCTGGTCAGTGTGGAGGCCGCTGGAGGCTCGTCCTGGTTCCTCAGTGTTCTTCCAACGTCTCGCTGTCCGATTGTTGTTGGTCTGTGTGAACCGTAGCCCCAGTTTCCTGGTCTTGGATGACACTCGGTGTGGTCTGCTGCTGTAAGCCGCCATCGCTCAGTGACGGGACTCTGCAGACCTCGGTTGGAACGAGTCTGACCTCTGGGACGGATATTTTCTCTTCTTCTCTGTAACCTGTGCATAAAAGTCCAGTTCTGATGCTCAGTTTGAACTTCAACACGTCTACAAGCCTCAGTGTTGCTGCCGTGTGATTGGCCGATTGAGATTTCAAGTTAACAGCTGGTGAGAGTTTATTTATGTAAAATAGCCCATCAATAATCAATAACCGTTTTATAATCTCACTGCAGAGATTGTTGAAAATTCCCTCCTCATTTTTAGCACCAATAAATTCTGGACATTAATCCTTTAAATACTGAATTTATGACTTCCTTCATCTGCAGAGTCTCATGAAATAAATCACTTCCTCTTTCTGTGCGGTCAGAATGAAAACAGTCCCGTTTCCTTCGCTGCAGTCGAACCTGTGAGCGCCGGCGGAGGACCAGATCAGAGCGGTGGTTCACGGCGTGGTTTGTCTCCACTTTATGATGCTTCGACAGACTCAAACCGCTGGTTATCAGACGGCAGCACGCCTCGGCGCTCCCACAAGTCCTTTCGTTCAGAGGTCGTTTCCTTAACTTTGCTCACATGTTCCTCACAAAAAAATCAGTTTGAAGGAAAAACAAATCACCCGGAGCCGACACCAGTTCAGGACGTTTAAAGATCTCATGATCTTTCACAGAACCTGTTTGTGTTCCTCAGGAGCCCACGATAAACGAAGACAACCACAGAAGCCTGAGCAGCGTTTTATTCTCATCAATCACTTAACGTTTGCTTTGAAATCAACCTCCAGATTAAGGAGTTTCCTATCAAATGATGCAACTCCCAACAACAGCATAATCTCTGTAGATTAATTAAAGGAGACTTTAGGAAGTCTGAAGAAGAGCCGAAACAGATGAACTGAAATTAGATGAAGGAAAGAAAAGTGATTTTTCCAGTTGGAGTTTCTTCGACGGCACACTTTAATCCAAAGTCTGAGTTAAATGGTTAATTTGAGGCTAATATTCAGTCACCTTAAGTAAATACAATAATCCCTCGTTTATCACGGGGGGTTACGTTTCAGACCCCCCCACAACAAGTGAAAGGCCGTGAAGTAGCTCGGTTCTGTTGACAGAGTCCTGCACGTGTAACAGTACGGGAAACACTGTGTGTGTGTGTGTGGGGGGGGGGGGTAATTTATT